GGGGGCGGAGGAGTTTTGGGGGGTATTATATGGTTTTCAGTGGGAACAGAGGGGAGGTCAGTCGTCGCTGGCAGAGTATCAAGAAGGGGCTATGGAAAATTGACTGCTAAAGAGGGGGGATCATTGGGAGACCAAAGAGCCTAAGAAGGGATCACGTAAATTTTTTTGGTAACAAAGAAATCTTCCTAACTTATCTCCCCGCCCCCATATCCGCACCCTTAATGGGTCATTACAATATAACAAGGGGATGGGTAGGTGCGTAATTACTCAGATAAGATACTAACTATGGAACACTAGCAAAATTGCTTATCAAGGCCAATAAAGAGCATAAAGGAGTCTAATTTTTAAATTGAACTGTTCACACTCACAAAGTCAATTCCATTGCGTAGATGAATACCCACAAAAGGTTCATTATTCATGACAGTTGAAATAAACCTCTTGGCTTTATTTTCAACTTTAGCCGACCACTGGACAAACTTTTGTAACCATCTGTTTTGTGAATGTACAGGGAAAGCTCCTGGTGCTCCCATCAGTGCTATAACTGGAAACTCTGACTCTGGAAATCTGAAAAACGATATAAAACAATGAATCAACTAGTAAAACGCAAAAAAAAAAATAAATAAATAAAATAACTGATTGGCTCTTGAGATTTGAAGACTTTTAAGTTAGCTGTAAAGAAAGGACCTTGCTGCAAACATGATAGAAAACATATGGAGAGCAGATGGGTTGGACAGGACAGGACAGGACAGGACAGGAAAATAATGGGCACACCATGCGTCATACTTCCTGCCAATTATAATCATGACCCATTCATAACTCAACTGAAGAATCCATGTTCAATCCAGTATAGGAAGTGTTCCAGAATCAGTCTGCTTTACCAAGCTTTGCAATTGTCTAGAAAACTTTCCCTATCCTCTCAACCTATCAGAGTAATATTAAGAGGAATGATTGCTTGGTAACCAGGGTTTTCCGACAGTTTTGGCAGTTTGCCTGTTTCTAATTTGCTTTCTCATAGGCTGATGATAATGTTACGATATTATTCTTATTGGCTGTTGTCCTTCCTTCGGTCTTTCAAAACTCAGTTGAAACCTGCTTTATTGTGTGACAAAACACCAAATGATGAAATGTAAATGTGACAGCTCAACTTGCACACTGTTTTCCAGTCAACAAGACCACTCCCTAAAATTTTAGTCCTAAAAGAAGTTCAAGCCATTTGACCTTCCTATGTGTGTATTGGATAAATATTTTTCATGATTGAAGCTGTACCCTTTGCCCATTCATAATGAGGAAAATATATTTGCAACAGATTTTGTCCTATTTTTTTAAAATTGTTTTGGAAATTTTACAAAATGTGGTTAAAAAAATTATCATGATGGTATAAGCCAAAGCCAGAAAAAAAACAAACAAGGGACAAAAAATTCAGTTTCAACTTGCAACGACACATTTTGGTGAGATAAACATACCTTGTGTTCCACCCTACCCTTGCCCACTCTTGTTCTGTGTCCCACAGCAAGCCAGAATGTTCCTGATAATCATCAAAGTCAATATGAAAGTGATCCCAGAAAGGTCCAAAAGGATTTCCCTGCTTCATATCACACTTTTGAACATCTTGAAATGAGTAACAGAAACCTGAAACAGAATCATCATCACCATTATTTTTCTCATTGTCGGTACATGAACACTGTTTTCTTTTTACACAGTACAAGATGACTGCTGCTACATGAAATGTCTTTAAAAGCCTGGCACTTAACCCTTACCCTTGACTAAGCTCATCTATCATTTTTTTTTTTTTTTGTTTGGATATATCATTGATTCAGGCTGTTACTGTTTTCAGAGGTTGCAGTGGCCAGTAGAAAAAAATTCTGCTGCCTGTGGAACCTGTGTTTAGTAGTCATGAGGCAAGTTGTAACAGTTATATTACTTTTATTGCTTTAATTTGTAATAATTTGTCACTTCTCCTTTTAAGCTTCTAAATGTCAAGTGAACCTCCAAAAATGATTCTCGACCATATTATTCACTTCACAGACAAGTTTTGTGGTAAGCTCCACTTTTCCTTCACCTTTTTTCCTTGCAACCATTTTATGATTTTAGGTTGCCAAATGGTGACTTTAGAAAAATTTGGAGCTCACAACCCTCTACATTTATATTCCTCATAATTTCCACTAAATGCCTTGTTTGTGTAAACCACTTAACTTTGTTAAAAAAATCATCATCATTTATAATCAAATACCAACCTATTCTTCTTCCAGGTGGCCATATTGTTGGAGCGATGTCTTTCATGAAATTTTCCATTGTTATAACACTGTGGTAAGCTTCAAGTGGCTTAACAAGAAACCAGTCATCAAATGGTACCCGATCCTGTAGAGAAAAGGGAAGGGAATACTATTTGAATAGAATGATGTACAGGATAAAAAGGAGAATTTTTTTGTGTTTTAATGATTCAGTCTTTTATTCATCTAGTAGAAAAGGAACAGAGATATGTTTAAATGTATCTGCAACATGCATCCACCATAATAAGTAATTGGTACAACTTTGATCATTTTTGGAAGGTGTCAGCTCATTTTCAAAAAGACAGGTAAGAGGGAGAGAAAATCTCAAGCACTCAACAATGTTGTTGTGATTTTTTAAGTTCTGGCACTCCACAAATTTTCCCCAAAATTTCCTGTAAATTGTCCCCACTCATCACTTTTCACTCACCCTTAAAATTACTCAGTCATCAGGGGTTCTTTATGGAATTGACAAGAGAAGGAAACTAATAGATTGTTCATTTTGTACGGAGGTGAGATATTATATGCTTATGATTTAACTAACCAAGTAAATAAACGAAATAAACTCACAGAGTCACCTCTTTTATAACTTGGATAAACTATCCATGGAGGTAACACAAGGGTGCGATTCAACCCTTTTGCAAAAGCTAATGATCCTAAAAACTGGTCAGCTTGATTTCCAAACCGGCCTGAAAAGGAGAAAACATAAAGAAAAGCATCATTCGATTCATTTTCTTAACCACAGTTCATATCTGACTTGTGTGACTTACGTGTATGCATTTTGTGTTTATGCCCAACAGATGAGGCTCAGTTTTTTTCAGAGAATCATAAGTTATGTTTTTATTTCCAAAACCCTTAACCTATCTGGTACACCCTAAAATCACTATGCATATTCCCCATACTCTTCTGAGCTTCTTCAGTTGGTGATCATTTCCTTTATTCTTTTGTGATTCAGGGATGATATGTTGTTAGAAGAAATTAGATGCAAGTCACTCTTTGTTAGTGTTCAAAGGGTCAATGTATGGCTTAAGGTGATTCAGAACATTAATTCAGTGCTCAAAATTAGCGGTCGTCTGGTCGTCCGAGACAACCAAAAAGTTTACCGGGCAACCAATTTTTCGTAAAATGAAGAGGCTGGTTGTCTGGGGAAAAAACAATGGACAACCCAGCCAAATATAGAAAATAAATTAACCATAAACAGCACCTGACCTACATGACAGTTTTGTTTTGTCAATGTCCCGTAGTGTGAAGTTAATAATAATTTGCCTCAGCTAAGCATTTTCCTGTGTTTTGGATATCTGTAAATTTTATAAAATATTGCCAGGTACGAAATGTAAGAGACAAACACAAAGTTTCTTGTCTGGAGGTCATCAAGATCAAAGATGCCATTTTGAATATGCCACAACTTAAACCCAGACTTCCGCAAAAACCATTGCTGCACACTCAGAACTATGGGATTAGTTCAAGCTTGACCACCATGTGATTTTCTATCGGGCAACCAAGGATTCATCAGGGCAACCAAATTCACGGCTTTGGTTGCCCAGCTTTTGAAATAGGGACAACCTGGATTTTTTTTTAATTTCGAGCACTGTTAATTTAACTAACCTATTAAAAAAAGAGCTACTGACTCAGAGCAACAAATATCAACATTTTTTGGTGCCAAATAAAGAAGAGCCTCACCTTG